TGCACAAAAGCTCTCTTGGCTCCTCGGGGAACTTTGTACTGTAATTAGCTCTTCAGACATTTCCACTCTGAAATGCTGATTTGGAGATCAAAGCAAAAAGAGCATCTTTGGTAATTGTTTGGTCTTTCTTTTCCATGCAGATGAAGAGATTGGGGGCCACAAGGGGATGGAATTATTTGTGAAGAGTCCTGAGTTTGCAGCACTTAATGTTGGCTTTGCTTTGGATGAAGGTAAAAACCATAGTACGGCATTTGGGACGCAGTGTTGGAATTGAAAAGTATGCTGTAACCAAGTGTGCTGTAACTGAAATCATTTTGCTTTTTTTCTTAATGAAATTATCCTTTGTGATTTCTGGGTTTCTTTCTCAAAGCTGTATGACTATAAGCTTGTTGTCTAATAAGGAAGGCCTGTGCAGTCTTGGTGAAGATTCTTTACCTGCCAGTAATAATAATGTCCTCCCCTACATGAGATCAGGGAATACAAAGCCAGTTAGCTGATGGTATGGTCCCTTCAAAACAGCTTTGAAGAAAGCCTCCTCTATATTTTAATGACATTTATTATTTTCTATTACTGTTATGTTTTCTCCTAGGCCTGGCAAACCCAACTGACACTTTCACTGTCTTCTATGGCGAGAAATGCCCATGGTGTAAGAAAGATTTCAAATGTTGTCATTTCTTTCATCTGTTTTTTTAAATGTGCATCCTAAGACCCATATTGAAAACCATCTACCGCATCTCTTCCAGAGAGAATGCATGACTTCTTTTGAACGGTTTCTGGTGTTTTGTCAGTTTTATGTCTCCACTGTAAAATAGCCATATGTAACCTTTCTTTAAACTTCCTGGAGAAGCCAAATCAGATCAGGAGATTAGCCTTCTGTTGGAATTAGACTGGAATTTTGTATCTTTTCTTAGTTGCAGCTGTATTTAATTGCCACAACAGATTGTAGATCTGTAGTCACGGTTGCATCACTGGATAGATCTAGAATTTTAGACCTCCCCAGATGACTCTTGCTTTATAGCTTGGAATGTTCACTAAAGGCATTATGAAATATTCATATATTTTATAATGAATGCCTAAAACGTAACTTAATGCAAATGTTGACAGCCGACTCTCTGAAAACTCAGAAATACTGTTGTTAATGTTGACAGACAACTAAATGTGGTTATTAGCCTTTACTTTGTATATCTGAAAATTATGTGAAAATGTATGTATTAACAGAAGTCACAGCCTTTGTTGCACTTAATGAATATGGAAATATTGCCATAAAGATGATACACAGACTACAGCCTATTTCTTAATTTATTCTGTGGTACTGGTGGTGGCTGAAAAAAAATCATTGCCACTCTTTATTTAGTAGTAAGAGTCCTTTTACAACTTGGCTTCCAGGATAATATACAGGAAGGCTGAGCAGGCATACTCTGGCCCAATTTGTGGAATATATTGCAGATAAAATTGTTTATATCTGCTGGCTTTGACATAGCCATTAAAAATATAGATGACAGAATACAAGGATCAAAACAGGGAAGATAAAAAGAAGGCAGTGTCCCAGACTGTTTTTATCCTTCTTGTTCTATTTTTTGGCTTGTTATTGTTTTTATTATTGTGTTGTTATTGTTTAGATTTTATTTCATTATGAGAAATGGTACATGCCCTATTTTCTTTTTATTTACAAATTTTATTTACAAATTACAAGAAAAAAAGTTAAAATCTAAAAAACATTTTTAAAAAAGCAACAAGAAAACATACACAATTAACAAGATAATCTTCAAACTTAAAGAGAGAAAAAAGATTAATAGAAACAAAAAAAAAAGAAAGAAAAGAAAAGAAAAAAATTAGAAAACTCTGGTTTCTCTTGAAAAGGTATGTGCATTATGGTAACAACCCACAGATCCAGGCTTTGTGGATCATTTTGTTGCCATTTCCAATGTGAAGAAGGAAGCCTCTTCCTTTTAAAAAGCTGTTCACTTCTTTGAAATAATAGTCTGTCTGTTAAATATAGTCCTGCCCTTCAGTGTACTGTTCCTTCTTTGGAACATGGCACACTTTCAGGTGGAAGAGAAAGATATATGTTGTATATGCACTTTACTCAAAGTGTGTTAAACATCGGAATCTAGTTTGAAATAAAGTACATATACACCATATTGGTTTCTTTTCCTTTCCTTTAGCTGCCCATCCTTCTGTTTGTCTTCATACTTTTAGGTACCATTAGTTACAGATGGCAATCATATCAAATACCTGCTATATCTCAGGAGCCATACACTCTATAAATACACATTGACATCTGAGTTACTGTAGATCAAAGGTTCTGGCACAATTTTTTTTTGAGGTTGTCAGAGCTACAAAGGCACAGAATAATTTAGCCAGAGAGAAAAGGTTCATACTTGTATTTTACAGGAAGGAACACGGAGGATAACGGATTAACCCAAAGCTAGTTGTTTACTTTTTTCTCACTATTCTTAATTCGGAATTGGAAATATTTTCCAATCTTATGCAAATTACCCAGAGAACTATCAGAAGACTCTGATGTACTTTTTAACTGCACCTGTTCTGAACTTAAGTTGGTTTCCGTATTGGCTGGATCATTTTGTTGTTATGGAACTTAAAAAATGTAATTGTTTGGCCTGCTTTGCTTTTGCTTTTGCTTTTATTTTTTTTCTTTTTGCCTTCCTTGAAATACGCTCAGGGATTAAAGTGAAAGTAGAAGGGAATCCAGGACATGGATCCAGATTCATTGAGAATACAGCTGCTGAAAAGATGGTAAGAGGGCATTCTCTGTAATGTGCAGGGCCAAGGAAGGGTGGGAGGTGAAAATACTTATCAGTATCAACAAGTATAAGTAGGAGATCAAATCAGGCACTTTAGATGAATGGTTTTTTAGATAATGTCATGCACAAGCCAAAGTGCTGGCTGTAAGGTGCAGTTTAGACTAGAATTAGTAAAATGCGGTGCTCAGATCTTGTTAGGCCATAACTCTTGATCATGAAACCCAGCCAGGAAATCTCTGTGGTCAGAGATTATGGAAGTTATAGCCCATCCACTTCTAGAGAGAAAAAGTATGCCTATTTTTGGTTTACAAAGATTCTTGCCACCTTATCGAAATTCACTAAAAGACATATAATCCCATCTTGCCCAGAAGCTGACACTAAAGGCAGTCATGTAGAAGCACTGACTGTGGGGAGAATGCTTGTCATTACATTTACTTTTGATTTTCCTGTTCATAGCACAGAGTGATCACTTCTTTCCTAGAATTCAGAGAATGTGAAAAACAAAGGTAAGGAAAAAAATAGGCCAAGTCTGTCAAGATAGGGAAAGGCCATGCCTGACCTTCATGTTTGAACCACTGCATTTACTCATTCTGTATTTTTCTATAAAAGTACAACAAAAGAAGAGGGCTTTGTCACTTCAGAAAAGATTTAATTGATTGTGGCGTGGCTTTCATAGGCAGTATCCTAGTACATGAAATATACCGAGTGGCCCAGCACTGGCTCTCCCAGTCTTTTATTGCAAATAGTTGGGTCACTACTGCTACCATGCCCACTTGAATCCTCAGCCGTGAAATAGAGAGCAATTCAGCTTTTTCTTCCTATAACTGGACTGAAAGGTGTAGGTGACATCAGGCTCTCATTGCCTTTGATTTCTTAAAATGGATTCCTTTTTCACTGTAATGATTAAGAGGATGAGCAATGAGTTGCAAAGCCCAGCTCAGCCATAACTTCACTAAGAGGAAATTCACAGAATAATTTCACAAAATCTCTCCTTGCCCCCATATATAATATTTGGACGGTAATAGTGATGCACCTTGCATAATGCCTAAGAATTTCTGATAAATGAAGCACTTTAAGTAGCTCGGAAAAGGTGCTGTGTAAATCCAGAATGGCATTATATTCACAAAGGACATTTAATTTTGATAATTATCTGTGTGATGACATTTGTTACTGTATTATTGAATGCTACACTATCTACCATTTTTAATGTATTGACGGCTATTATCCTCAGAAATATGGCTGGATCCACTTGTAGGAACCACTCTCATATTGTTCAGTTGATGACACTAATACATGGTGGGTTAGAATTTGAGAGCTTTGAGCAACTCATCTGAGATTAAATTAATGCGTGTAACAATTTGTATAAATAAAACAGGGATGCTTTACTATAGTGGCATCTGTATTGTTCAGTGATAGAGGTTAGGTTTTGTATGTATGTTTCTAAGATAACATGTAAGTTACTGAATCAGAGAGGTATCTTCTTCGCTCCAGTTTTGTTGGGCTGTGATTCCTATAAATATTTGGGCAGGTGATCTCATGCCCTTGAACATGCAATTTCTTCGTTCTCAGGGACTTAGCAATGAATTTATTCAAGAATTTCAAAGAAACTGTGTGTACATTTTTTTGTTCTTTCTCGCAGATTGAACGCAGAGGAACACCTCACTTTAGGAGATGTAACGTCTGTGAACCTGACCATGTTGAATGGAGGCGTATCATTCAATGTGGTCCCCTCTCAGCTGTCTGTTGCCTTTGACATCCGGATCCCCCCTACAGTGGACTTAGAGGTACAAAGAAGGAGAAGATTACCAGATTTCCTTCTGTAAAGATTTGCTTTGAATATCTCATCAGAACTGACCAGAGGGTGTATTAGCTCTTTCCACCTATGCTAGAAAGAGCTAGCTAGCTAGCTAGCTAGCTAGCTAGCTATTTATTTATTTATTTATTTAAAAATGCAGTTCTGTAGTTATTTGCGTGTAGGTATGGGCACAGCTTGTTATGCCTATGTAACACCACCGCTCCACAAACTCCACTGCCTCCCAATAGGCTTTTGGGTGCAATTCAAGGTGCTGGTTCTTATCTTTAAAGCCTTACATGGCATAGGACCGGATTACTTATGGGACCACCTTCTCCCAAGAATATCTGCCTGTGTCACATGCTCCCACAGGGAGGGCATGCTCCAGATCCCTTCTTTTAAATCTTGTCATCTTACAGGACCTTTTCTGTGGTTGCCCCTGTTCTCTGAAGTATTTCCCCCTGCCCCTGCCGATATATGACAGGCCCCAACTCTTCTCACCTTTAGGAAAACCATTAAGACCTGGCTCTTCCCCCAGACATTTGGGGTCAGTTGAATGGGAATTCCCATGGTGATTTTGTTGTGTGCTTGGTCGCCATTTTACGTTTTATACTTTGTATTTATATGTTGTTGGTTTTTTTGGATTTTTTTCCTCCTTTTTTGATTTATTGTTGTTTTTATGCTGTACACCGCCCAGGGTCACATTGTTCGAGTTGGGTGGCCTTATAAATCTTAAAAACAAACAGACAAATTGTTTCTGGCTTTATTTATTTATTTATTTTACAAAACTTGTTAAACTGTTCTATAAAATATTGTGAATTGTTTAAAAAAAATCCTTGAAATATTTGTAGTTGTTAATATGAAAGGCCTTTGCAACTTTTCTTGATGTCTGAAAGAATTGGAGAGCCTAATTTCTTTGCTTGTAGATTACTTTCAAGAGTTTTGAATTCTGGTAGCCTTGAGGGTTTTCATGCTCTATTTCTATTTAATGAAAGATCAACTGTGTTTTGCAACACATTCCCCCCAAAGCTGCCCTGGAGAGAAATGTCAGGTAGCTATCATAAGCCATATAGACCTTTGATCAATAGTTAGCTTTGAGGCTACAGTATTTGATGGTTCCATACCTGTGAGGGAAGAAGTATTGTTAAACCGGGCAGGAAGGAGTGCAGAGGATTGTAGGATAGAACAATAAGATAATGAAAATTAGGGTATCTGGCCAAGAATTGTTCAGAAGAAATTGCCTTCTCATATCACATACTGATTTGTCTCTGTTCTGCAGGCGTTTGAGGAGCAGCTCACATCCTGGTGCAAAGCAGCTGGAGAAGGTGTTACGTATGAGTTCCACCAGGTAACTGGGAAACCAAGCGTTCATTCCGAAGACCTGCTACTTTCCCTTTAGTTCTAGAAGCAAAGCTTTAGGCTGCTTTGGGCTTACAGCTTTCCAAGGTGCTGCCACTGTTTTTCTCTCTCTTTCCTCCTTGGGCCTTTATCTCAACAGTGCTGTCTTTCTATGGTGCCCTGGGCTCCATAGCCTCTTTTAGTCCTCCTGCTGTTTCTGCCATGCCTTTGTTAGATATTCCTGGATTGTGAGTATCTGTTGCGTCCTACAAGTTTCACTCTCTACCTTTTCTCTTGGGCTAGAAATACATGGATCAGACAGTTACCTCCACAGAGGAATCTGATCCCTGGTGGAACGCATTCAGTGGCACCTGCAAGGACATGTGAGTACATTGTTATATTTCCCCTTTCTCTTTTCTCTTCCTTTTTCCTTAGTCATTTTTGGATATGAGCAGTTTCACCTGCTAGATGTGAACAAGCATATATATAGGTTTGGTTGTTTTTTTTGGTGGGGAAGCTGCTACTTACCGCATTCAGAAAAAAGGTTGGTATATACCAGGATACCCCCAAGTATAGACCAGCTTTCCCCAGACTGCCATTTGAAAATATTTGGGGATTGCAAGTGCTTAGTCAGCAGGGTGTTTGGAAGATGTCTGGATTGCTCCAAGTTGGGAAAAGCATGGGGAGTCCAGGAAAATTGTCTGATAACTCCATCTTCTCAGCTACTCCTCTTCTAGATCATCCCAGAAGCCTGCTTATCATTTTTTCAGTTGATAAATTCTGCCTTCAGATAGCTTGAAACTTAGTAGCTGCAGAAAGAACAAGTTAAATAACAACCATAGCAAGGAGAACTTCTCTGTCATTGTGTCTCTGTCTCTTCAGGAATATGAAGCTGAAGTGTGAGATCTTCCCTGCTGCCACTGACAGCCGCTATATCAGAGCAGTGAGTATAAATGTTTTTCCTACAGGTGCCTTGCTGGTGGATTGCTTATCTTCTTATTTGCTAAGGCCTTGCTTTCTGACAGCTGTTTCTCCTTCCAATATATTACAGGCAGGTCGCCCCGCTATTGGCTTTTCCCCCATGAACTACACTCCTGTGCTGCTCCATGACCACAATGAATTCCTGAATGAGCAGGTCTTCCTTCGTGGGATTGAGATCTATGCTCGCCTCATCCCAGCACTGGCCAGTGTCCCCCCTCTGCAAGCAGAAGCCTGAGGTCCTAGCAGATGGCAGCAGTCTGGGGTTGTGGTAGGAGGGAGAAAAACCAAAGAAAGAGAGAAAGGATCCTTTGATACTGTGACTGAGGACTTATGGCTTCTGAGATCTGTGTTTTGCCAAGAGGAAGTGGAATTCCAGCACCCCTGGGAGTTACACAAGGGACAAAGCAAGCTGGAAGCAGCAACTGACACAACCACATGTAAATTAGAGTCCTATTGGTATCAATGATTTTTTCTCTGCTGCATACTAATGAACTTAGAGACCCTTCTTTCCACAATTCCAGATGGAAAACCATGTCTCTCATTTTTTTTCTAACAGTTTCTCAGTTTGGGGATAAAAAGATAGTCCGATGGCTTCTAAATCAGCAAATTTCAAGGACTAGTTTCTCACTACTGAAACACTATTGAACAGAAAAATGTTACTGTCATATTAACTGTCTTTCTGCTACTATTGCACTCTTTTGCTATGTGATTTTCTTAAGAAAAAGAATCTCATTTACATTGGTAAACCTAAGGATGAAGCAAAATGGAGATAAGGGGGCTGAAATCTTGAGTTGGGGTGAGGTGGGAGTGCTATTTAGAATGCTGGTGCTGACATGGAGTGATTTTTTAAACTTTCTCTGACATGCCCAATACTACTACACAAGACCATTCTCAACACTTGTGTGGAATGTGCCATGGAGGAAATTTTTCTCAACTCTGCTATAATACTGAGCATTTTTCTTAGTTTCCCTGTTTGTAAAGGAGAATCAATTATGACACTTACTCCTTTGCCCCATGAGAAAAAAGTGTTTTGAAAGTAGATGAAAGGGAATTTAATATATAGATTTATTAGAGAGAGAGACACAGATCCTGAAGGAGGAGATAAGAATTAATATGACCTGTTTGGGAGCTTTCCTCCCTACTTTGCTGCCTTATCCCTCAGGAAGGTGGGGATGTCCCTGAATTTTCACTCCTTGAAGATTCACTAGCAGAACTGCTGACTGCCTTAATTTTCTACTGAACCTGTATTTAAGCCAATTATAGTGTTGAATGCCAAACTGGTAAGGGTGGAGTGGAAATGATTCCACCAAAAGGGTAGACAGCTTTTCCCCCAAGAATACCTTGGGGATGGCAGTATGTCAGAATGGTGCACTGTTTCCCTTGAGGTGTTCTTTTCCAAATTTTAACTGGAATTCTGCTGACCTACTAAGGGCAGTCAGTAAAGGTACATGGATTTAAGACAAGGAGAAACCTTCAGCCACAATTCCTTGAATAGGATGCCAACCTCTAAAGGATTGGTTACAGCCCTAGAATTCCCCATTGGTCTCTTGTCCAAGTACCAAAGGGGTATTTTGCCCAGTCTTATACAAGATATTTGATTCAGACTGGAAAGTGAGAGAAGTTCTCCAGATACCATGTTGCCCTGTTTTACCTCAGGTTCTCGTCATCTAATTTCTCTTGCCATTTGTAACAAAACCTGAACTCCTTCAAGAAGGATTATTTTTCACACACTGCTATAATGCAAGACCATTCCTGTACATTGTCAGGTACACCTTCTCTTTTTGATATTGGAAACATCCCTTAGATGCTTCACTCATACTTGCTCGTGCCATAGAGCAACACGTTTAAGGAACATGGAAATTTCCCCCTTTTATTTCCCTATTAACTACAGGTGATTTTTAACATCAAACAGGAAAAATAACACCACTTTGATTTGCCTATTTTTTTCTTCTTCCTAGTGTTTTTCCCAGAGGAGGTGCAGGGTCCACTTTCTTTTTGGATCAACTGAACGTTGATCTATTGGTTGTGACAGGAATGGACCCACTGGCTTGCTGCCTGAGCCTGGCGTGGGCTGAGAGAGACAGAGGGGGAGGGCCCAAAGTCCCCCAGCCGGCTTTCATGCCTAAGGCGGGACTGGAACTCAGAGTCTCCAGCTTTCCAGCCTGGTGCCTTAACCACTAGACCAAACTGGCTCTCATATGTCTCCGTAACAACACAGAAAGACAGTTTTTCACAGATAGAAGCCTAAAACGCATACAGCTTTTAGCACATGATACAACTATCCCTAATTTCTATAAATGTGGAGAAGACCAGTTATATAAACTTGTATGGCATAAATATGAGAACAGCTAGCATTATCATTTCATTCTTTTTCCTCAGAAGACTGTGAATGACCATATTTGAAAGTTTAAAAGGAGTTCCTGGTCTTTTTTAATCATATGTTCTTTACCATCCTTATCTAAATATAGATACAAATTTATTCAATTGTGGAACTATGAGAAGTTTTTTCGGCTTATATAGAGGTGATTTTAAGAAAAAAATAATAAATCAAAACTTGCTCAGGTTTTAAAGTTAGATTTGTGTGCTAACTTGGGAGATGTAACTCAGCAGGTGGTAACACTTGGCTGACCTTGCTGGGATTCTAAAGCTAAGCAGGGTTGGACCTGTTTGGCAATTGGATAGGAGACCAATGGGGAATTCCAGGGCTGTAAGCTTGCCTGGGAACTCAAAACCCAGAAAAAGGCAGTGGCAAACCATTTTCACAACCAATGTGTCTATACCAGTAATCAAGCTCCTCAAGCTTTTTTTAATTTTGAACAGTAATTGCTCAGAACTGTTTTCCACTAGATGGCGAACTGCACCTAAAAATCCTCCAGTATGGAATAATTCACCATATGCAGCAATTATCAAATATTGGTAATACTGTTGCTATTGCTCATATTTGTTGGGAGTGGGATGGAAGCATGCATATCTCTGAGCACAGGGAAATAATAAAACATGATTGTCTAATGAACGTAGGAGAAGATACATGAATATTAAAATATTTTTGAAACAACAGCGTGATAAACAATAGTCTAAAAGTTGAAACGTGTACTTTGAAGCAAAATGAATCTTCCATTCTCAGTTCATGGGCCAACTTTATCAGAGGGCACAGAGGGATGATGATTTCAAACATAGTAGCCCATTGTGTGAACTTGGTTAGCTGAAGGACAGTGAGTATGGGCCTGCTTGAGTGAGTAACATTTTCTTTTGCAATTACTCAAGCCTAGCCTTTATCAAACAAATATTAATACACTGTTACGTTTTCATCACAAACTCTGCAGGAGTCAGCAAAACTTTTCCAAGAGAATTGCCTTTACTCGGGGACTTGGCTCCCACATTGCACTAAGACATAATCTGTTGGTTTTGACTTGGCTTATGTGTGCACCCAGGCAGATGTGGTCATGGCATAACATAATTTTTTGAATTGGTTATAAAAAGCAGATGCAAATGGGCGGTTTTGCAGCAGAAGGGCACTGCGAAGTGCATCCTTGCGCTGTGTGGAGTGATACGGCCATTTGAAGCTGCAGGTTTTGGATGGAAAAGAAAGAACACAATGTTTATGATTACCTTTTACTGAGAGGGAGAGGAGGGGTTTGTGAATATTCATGCTCAGGGGTCCAAGTACCATCGTCAGCCTTGGATATTTTGCAACTCTGAGGCAAGGGATCATTTGCTGCTCCTCTGCCTAAGGAAGAAAAATCCATTGGACCAGCTCCGCCAGTGCAGAAATTTCATTAAGAACATGAAAAAGGAGATGAGGGCAAAGTTGGCAAAACAAAAAAACACCCACAAAAGACAGCACAGCTCTCTTCAAAGCAAGGTAGAAAGAGCTTCAGTGATCAGTGATAATTGCGTATTGGGAAAGCGGAAACCAAAATGAGAAAGTCACCATACCTATTGATCAGGATGTAGCAGCAGCAGCAGCAGCAGCAGCAAGCAATCTAGCAATATTTGCATTAGAAAAAATGGCTGTGTTGTTTGGTTTTGAATTAGCTCTTGTAAATACTTGGGAGGAAGGAAATCTGGTCCGCTTGTGGAAACCATCCCCCCAACTTGCTGCAGCTGCCACAAAAGACTGACTGGGAGGGAGCAGCTGGGAGGGAACCACAGGGGACGGAGTCATTTTATACAGTATTGCTCCAATGTGCTTTGTTACTGGCAGCAGAAAAAAATAAGAGGATGAAGGTGACTGCTGCTTTGATCCAGTAAGGCTGCTTGCTTTTGAATCTGTTTATAGGTAAACCAGGACACTACTTTGCTATAATTTAGGGTTAACTTTAGAGTTCAGTGGATATGCAACAGAGACCTGATCAAAGCCTCCTGAGATAGGCACAGCCAGGATGCATCTGGGATTTGACCTGGCTCTGATTCAGACTCCAGGTTTGAGTGTCAGAACGGGCCATTTTCTCCCATTTGATAAATCAAGCCAGGTGTGAAGTGTCAAGTCTGCTCTTTAGCATCTTTGTATGCAATACATCCCAGTACAAATATCCACATGGTGCAATGTGGAGTCAGGAGAGGGCATCACACGAAACAGCATGGTTTCTCCTGGGGGGTAGGTGGGGGGTGAACAGTTTCCACCACAGTCTGTTGAAGTTGCACCCCAGCATTTGGTGAGGCCTCTTACTCTGCCGCCCTGCTGTCTCCACTCCACTCAAAACACAACAGCAAGCAGAATGGTTTAAAGGCAGCTGTTGAAATTGAAATCAGATGAGATGCAAAAATATTATGCTTTGCGTCTGAACTTTCCCTCTCTTCATAAATGAGATCCATGTCTCTCAAGGCAAGGGCTCTCTCTAGGGCCTCCCCAAATGATTGCTGTGATAGAAGATAACCAGGGAGCAGCTGTGATGGCAGTCCGGAGAGGATGGGATGTATCAGTGATCGGCAGGTCCCCACAGTTCAATTTTCTGAGCCCTAAACCCCAGGGAAAAGATGGGACTGGCTTTCTGTGCGCTACTTGTCCTAGGACAGCTGGCTCTTCTGCAGGAAAAATGGGGGATGGGATTTTTAGATTAGCATTTCATTTCAGTAAAACAACCTGGGCTGTTTCAGTTTCCTGGTTTCAGACTGACAAACTTAGTTTGAGCATTCATTTTCATAGAATAAATAATGTTCTGATTTGAAGCTGAGCCAGTGGTTCACTTCCTAATGCTGAAAAAGCAATTAACATGATGAATGGCTTTATATATTGTGGCAGGTTTAAGAAGTCTAATGCCATATTTTTACTGTCAGGGGCAACTGCACATAGAGCGGGGCAGGGCTTCACTCACCATCTTGACATTTTTACCCTCCTCCCCATGGGTGTCCCTGTTTACTGTACTGACATCTTGTGAAAAATGATGCCAATAAAATATTTTCAGAGAATCTATTTACATACTGCATCTTGAGCTATATACTGAAGTTGGTTTTCTGGGAAGAAAGAATTTATCTATACGACCAATGCAAAAAATAACCAAGTTCATTTGCATTCCATAACACCATCCTGCGGCTTTATTACCTTCGTCTTATGAACAGGCCTGTTAACTCCATTGCATCTTTCCTCCCACAGCCATGATTACTTTCCTGGTTTCTGAAAGAAAGCAGAGCGACCAAGTGACAAAAGCAATTGAGTCACTGTACCCGAATGCACCAATAAATATCCATTTAATCCACTGTTGTTCACGTGAGCCACAAATGCTCTAAGGTGGATCAGTGGCAAAGATGAAAAGGCCCCTCTCTACATTTGCAAATGTGCAAGTGGTGGAAAAGAAGAGGGGCGTTTGGCAATCTATTTTTACATTGGAGGGGATTTTTGTTTCGTCCCCCCAAGCTTCTAGACTTGGTCATCCTTTACAATAACTGCAACGAAGCTTCGCTCCTTCCTCTTTAGAGATTTAGCATCCTTTGGCTTAAAAATGATCTTCCTTCACTCCTTAGCACTCCCCAAATCTACCCTGCATCATAAAATGTTACTGGGAAAGGCATCGGAATGGGAAAATGCCAGAATCTCCATTGTGGCTTGGAATGCAGGGCACAATCATGAATGAAGGCTTCTTAAGCTTTTTTAGGACATCTGTTTTTAGGCTGATTTTTTTCCTGCAGTCACCCCTCATACATACCTTTTGGAAGTTTCTTTTTATTTACCAGACAAATGTACAAGAGGTATATATTTTATACATTATAGACTTCAGAAAAAAACTGAAGACCTGGTTTTGTCATCACACATGGGGTGGGGATGGGAA